GCCTCTTCGTACACAATGGTCTATTTGTTTAGACCGCATCCAGAAAATGACTTTCTACTCATCTCACATATATCGGGAGGGAAATTTTGTTGCAGACAATTTTGCTAACATGGGCTTGTCTTCTCCAACTTTAACTTGGCATGATTCTCCTCCGCCAGCGGCTCGTGCTGCATTGTTTTAGGACTATGTTGGCTTGCCTAGTTACTGCTTCTCAAATTAATGTGCATCTTGGCATCCAGGTTTAGACCTTTAGGTTTGGTTTCAGAGGGGTTAGGTTTCATATCCCCTCCTCTTTTCTTTGTATCTCTCTTGTTTTCGTTTCTAGAAGGGTACGGTTTATATCCCCCCTTCTTTTTCATGTATTGTTTTTGTTATCTTTGTTTTATGAAGGGTAAGGTTTATGTCCCCCCCCCTGACTAGGTGTAACGTCTTTTTTCGTTATCAATAAAATTTCTCTCATACCGTTGAGGTTTCCCAAAGAAAAACAAAATCTTTCAAAGTTATGTTTTTATTAGCTGCCTAGTAACTATAGTCTTAAGTATCTACCCTATCAATGTATTGCAATCTCTCTATTTAAAGGACTTCATATGTATGTTTAAGGAGACTTGAATGAATAAAAAAATATATTTGCTCTGTGCAATTGAAGTGAGTGAGTGTTTTCTCCTTCTTAAATCAAGCGTTTGGCTTGGTTGTGTCGAGCTACTTCATGATTAGCGGCGTCGAGCGAGCTCCATTGCCCATGGTTGAGTTATTTCAATGAAAATATATGGTTAATGTTTCCAGAAGCGTGTTATTTGAAAGAGAACCTTTAGAACTAATGCATGCAGCTGCCACACTTTATATACCACCGCCGGGAAGAAAATAAAAAAAGAGTGTTAGATGACACCAAAAAATAGAGGTATCAATGACTAAAGAACATCGGAAGGGGTTGTCTGATCGAGCGAAGTTAGCGAGATTTGCACATGCACTGCGGGCATCTTGGCTGCCGATAAATGCTTCGACCGAACCTCCTCACACGCACCCTTTGGCCTTCGTCAATCAACTCTGTCTTCAAAGCTGTTCCACCCTATAGTACTATTCTCAGACAAAATTGCTGCTAGCCTCTTCTTGTTTGGCCGCAAAGTAGGAGCACCGCCAGCACCATAGTAGGTTCGAAATCCAGACACTAGGGAGGATAGTTGGCTCCCAGAGTCAGTCATAGCAAACACATCGGCTGTTGAACAGGCAATGAAGTCTAATGCTGCTAACTGCACCAGAAATCACATTGTTATAATATGAAGGGTATATTACAATTTACTGGTGAAAGTAGTAGACAGTGCGCATTTACCTTAGAAGAGAAATTTTGAAAAGGTGCAAGTTCGCTCCGTGTGAGGAGAGTTTCCTTGGTGACCAAGTTAGGGTAGAGGCTAGTGAAGGATTTCATCCGAGAGCTTCCACCGTATATTTGAGAACTGTAAGTTACATGCTTAAAACCTAAACCAGCAAGAACTAGTCCGGCTTCTTCTGGTGCCAATGGACACCTCCCCAACAGTCTCAACTGTCTTGGAGAATCGGCCCTGCAAATTTTGGTAGCACAGAGAAAAAGCATCGGTTAGAAAAAAAAGTTGTCTTCACACGAAATTAGAGAAAATAACACCTAAAAAGGCAATAGAAGATAAATACTTTGAGTTCTTCAAGCGCTTAATGAGCAGCGGAAAATGGATTTCCCTGTAGGCTTGGAGTTCCTTTTTCTCACTTTCTCCACCTCCGAATTCACACAGGGAGTAGGCCACCATGTCAATCTCAAATCTTAAGTGTAGAGCGAGATATTTCGTTGGGCCTCTTGCAGCAACATGTACCTTTGAGGGAGTTTTTTGCATGAAATTTCCAAGCAATTGTTTGTCCAACATACTCAAAGCAGCATCATAATTCCTTAGCCTTCTAACCAACAGAGAACCGACTTGTTGGATTTTAGGTCCAAACTTCAAAGCATGAAAGTTACATTTGCATCTTAATCTCTGCAACAGAGATTGGAAAATATGTTACACTGCCATTTCATCTAGCCAACAATGTCCTCTTATTAAATGTCTATATACATGTGGTCAAGTTATAACCTGAAGCTCAGAAGGCAATGGATCAAAGCCTAGTCGATTTCCATATCCGAGGAAGTGAACAACTTGATTTCGCAAGAGAAGAGGAAGTACAATTCTGATATAATCAATTGGTTTTGCCTCCTTCACAAGATCTGCATCAGTAATCTGCAAAGAGGAAAAGGTAATCAGTTTACAAATTTGATGCGGAAATGAATGTAACAAAATAGGAGGATGACGTACAAGGCTACCAATTGCTTCAATGTCTAGTGTTTTCAAATGAGAAGGAAGTTCTTTGACTATGTTTACTTCATCCTTCAGTACATCTATAAAATACTGTTCTTGGTAAATATCTTCAAATTGGCTGCAATAACATGAACAAACTGAGCTTATCAGTACGCCGAATACATCAGTGAACTTATGCATCAATAATTTTTTCAAAACTGCAACATCAAGTTGAAGCTGTTAATGATATTTGAAGATGATCAGATAATTATCTCAAACCTTGGATCGTTCCATACATTGCTGTAAAGAAATCTTGGAAGAACAAGAGTAGCATTAAGAAGAGATGCCACAGCAACAGCATTGCAAATCTGTAATCATCATAAGAAGAATATGTATGTAAGTCAATTGAAACACTCATCTAATGAATGAACAACCACCTTATTAATTTTACACACGCACTTAGATAAGGATTAAAACTTCATCACAAGAAGACTTACAGCAACTCGTTGTTGATTGAGACCGCCATTTGCGCTGACTATTATGTATCCATTACTTTTCTTGTATCTCTCTGAGAGGGAAGATCAAAAACTAAATAACTAAGTAACAGGGTAAGGGTTTTAATTTTAGAAAACAAAATTGCGAAAAAAAATGAACAAATACCTAGGCCTGCCGAAACTTTTCTGTCTGCACAAGGTTTCCATGCAGCAACCTGCTTATATGGTTCCTCCCATAAAGTCGACGACTCTGGCTTAAACTCTTTCTAAAGCAAAAGATTTACGTGAGTAAAAAGAAAGATCCTGTAAACAAACTTAACAAGCTTATCTGAGTCAAAAGATCATAAGTTAAGAAGAAAACCTCTGCAATGGCGTCTTTCGCAACCTTTAGAAGCTGGTCATACATATGTACTGGTGATTTTTCTTTCATAATGTAGGCATCCCTGTCCTCCTTCGGAAAAGAATTGAAGTACATATTACAGACGTTATGAACATATAATATAGGATGATTTGAAAATTTTATGGCAAGAATTGTGTAAGGTCTTTACCTTAAACCCCTGTGGATTTCTTACATAATAAGTTGAATTCTGAAGAACCATCGAATAAAAAACTGACACTAGAAAAGAATCAAGCAGGAGAAGGAAACCCATCAACGCAAACACAATGATGAATGATCGCACATCTTTTCGAAGCCACAAATGCTTTTTCCCCACGAAACTCCCTTTACAGGTACCATATTTTACAGAATCACTTCTCACAGCATGAAAATGGTCATTTTTCAGACCATGAAGGAACAACATTTTGGAATTCAAATGGTTATCTCCTCCTGACATTCTCCTCCCAACATTAGAAGGATCATAGTCTTTAGTCCCTGATGATAAGTTATCGTCAATCTGTGGCTCGGGATGTGGACTTCTCGGAGACCCTTGTTTCCCCATTAGACTCTGTGATCTTTCAGTAATACTTCAATACAAGCAGCACACAATTTTCTTCACCATCTCTAGTTTCCGAAACGGTCAAGAAATTTCTGCCAATAAAGTAACTGAGAGCAAAAAAATACTTCAGGAAAAAACGCTGGAAACAACTCTAGAAGCTTGAAGTTGCACCACCACCCTCTAATCTAATAATCTATGATATTTTTGTTTTCCAAAATCGACCCACCAACCATTAGACCATGTAACGAAAATTCAGGTTTGGTGTTACTCATTGACATGATGACATCAAGGATGAGAAAAGTATAAGGTCGGAGCAGGACATTGAAGGTATGAATTCAAAGTGAAGATAAGAAGTAGTTGAAAGTGGCAACATAAGCAGATGAGTGAAATGCAAGCGAAAAGTGAAAACTCAGCAACACCATTTTTTTTTTTTTTTTTTTTTTTATAAACATCAACCATATTTAACAAACCAAACTTGTAGACAAAGAATTTTTATAAGTTATATATACAAAGGCTCAAAAAACAGTTGGGACTATAACCCTCTATTAGGAGAGGTTTTTCAGAATGTCAGAAATACGGGGCGTAATATCACATGTCATAAAATAATTGGAGGGATATGAAAAGAAAAACTTTCCATCAATTATATAATAACATGTAATGTTTTGCACCATGTTCCAAACACATTGAAAAATCTCTCATTTATTAGAATGTAATTTTCTAATTTGGGCTTATTTATGATTGGATGAGTACTACATACAGGAGGAGTCAGATACATCATTAGAGCATCTATTCAGATGTTAAATGTAAAACATTAAAATGATATTTGATGAATTATGTAACGATTTGATATTGTGTATCATTTTTCGCTCCATAAAAATACCATTTTATAATTTTTTCCATCTCTTTATGGTGTTCAGTTATTGAGACAATCAATTAAATACTTGGAACACACAACATTTATTATGAATTGCATGACATCTATTAAAAGAATTTTGTTGCCATTTTTTTATTGTTATTTGTCTATGTGACAGTTTTGACATTTTCTTTAGCAATTTTAGAGCCCAACCACCTATTTTTTATTGTTTCTTTTCATTTGCAGGAGCCCAAGTAGTAAGTTAATTAGAAAAAGAGTCTTCATTGAGGAAAATATTTTCCGCACTCTTTTTCTCTTTTCGCATACTTTTATTTATTTATTTCTTTGATTCACATTTGATTTATTTAATATAATGACAATAAGAAAAATCGAGAGTATACTGATTATAAAACGATTACAACCAAACAGATAAAAACTTGATCCGAAACATATGAAGAATTAGACAAGTCAAACAATTGATAATAGTAATAACTAATTGTTGCTTCTTGTTCTTATAGTGTGACTTACTAGAGCATGGTACGAAGAAATTAGAAGAAATCTCTAAGGAAAAGTAAACAACGATGACTTGAGGAATGTTGATTAATTAAGTACACTTTCACAATATTTGGGAGAAAGAAAGATCCTAACACTACACACTGTCTCCTACACTATCCTTCAAAAGCTTGGTCTTCATTTTACTGAGGATGGCTGCAGCATCACGCATAGTTATCCTCTCGTGAGGTGATTCTCTACAACAAGCTAGAGCTAATCCCATAACGGAAGATAAAAAATCCCCCATCCGCACAAAATCATGATTTGCCTCCTTCTCGAGTAAATTGGCATCCACAACGTCAACTATTGCATCTTGGATTAACAAATTTGCAATCCATTGCTTCATATTCATTTCCTCAACAAACATCTCATCTATTGGCTTTCTTTTTGTGAATATTTCCATGAGCACAATACCGAAACTGTACACATCCCCTTTCGTCGAAACAATTCCTTCTCTCCCATACTCTATATGCAATATGTATATAGTTAGTAAAATATAGAATGGGTATAGTACATGAAAAGTAGGTACGTATATTATTTTGCAACTTCGTGAAATAGATAACTTTTTAAAATTCGGACATTTTTAAATTTTAGCATTAAGAAGTATACGGAAAATGAAAGTATTTTTGAAAAAATACATATATACGTGTATGATGATACGCAAACTTTATATGCAAGTACCTTTATACATGTGATACACTAGGATTATAAATTGAAGACAAGTGCATCTATAAAACTTAAAGATAAACTATAGTTAGCACATCACCTGGAGCCATATACCCAATTGTGGCTAGGGTCAATGTCTGAGTCATAGAATCTCCTCCTCCCAAAAGTTTTGCGATTCCAAAATCAGCGACATGTGCAACCATATTCTCATCTAGGAGTATGTTACCCGGCTTCAAATCACAATGGACAATAGGTATTGGATAGCCATGGTGAAGGTATTCCAGTGCCAATGCAACATCTATCATTATATTCAACCTTTCTAGGATACTCAAAGAACAAAACTTTTCAGAATACAGCCACCTCTCAAGGCTCCCATTAGACATGTAGTTCAGTACCAAGGCTTTGAAACCAACTTCGTTACAACTATTGATGATTTTGATGAGATTCCGATGACGAATATTACTCAGCATTTCACATTCACTATCAAAAGTCTTGAAAGCCTCTTCCAGTTGTAGATTGAGAACTTTTACTGCAACCTCCATCCCATTTGAAAGCGTTCCTTTATATACAGAACCAAAACCACCAGTGCCAATTAAGTTGCTTTCATTAAACCCACTTGTCACCCTTAGAAGTTCTTGGTATGAAACTTTTCTCCAATGTTGTTAAGGAAGATATCTAAGATTAATTATAGTAAATATTGTAAATCTGTAATTAGTTATTTGCTTCCTATTATAGTTTGGTTTCCTTGATTGTAGGCATTAGATTAGGATCAGGAATGTATCTGTTTCCTATATATTTTGTAACCCTAGCATTCGGTGAATACAAGTGAAAAGCATTCTGCTATATCACGTTTCTATATGGTACCAGAGCGATCGATCTGGGCAAACCACGACAGAAATCTAAACCCTAGCAACCATAGCCATGGGTGACAAACCAGACAAGTCAACCTCTTTAGGCATGACTTTACATCAAAAGTGGGAAAACCCTAACCATCCACTTTTTCTTCACCACTCGGATCAGCCTGGCGCCATCCTTGTTCCGCAGCCACTCGTGGAAGACAACTATGGCACATGGGTGCAATCCATGACCATGGCCTTGATGGTCAAAAACAAGTTAGGGCTGGTTGATGGAACAATCACAAAGCCAACTGATGCGCAGGTTGAAGAATTACAGCAATGGAACCGATGTAATAATCTGGTGAAAACATGGTTGCTCGGTTCCATGTCAAAAGACATCTCAGGAAGTGTCATACACTGCAAGGACGCGCGGCAGATGTGGCTTGACTTGCAAGAAAGGTTTTCTCATGTGAATATCGTTCAACTGTTTCACATAGAAAACGAAATTCATAATTGTGTGCAAACCAACATGACGGTGAGTTCCTATTTCACCAAACTCAAAAGCCTTTGGGATGAACGTGATGCCTTATGTTCAATCCCGACGTGCCATTGCGAAGCAAGGAATGAAATAACATCATATGTGGAGACTCAGAAAACAATGAAGTTCCTCATGGGTTTAAGTGACTCATATGCTACGGTTCGTAGCAACACCCTCTTGCTGGATCCATTGCCAACTGTTAACAAAGCTTATGCGCTTGTTCTTCGTCATGAGAAACAAGTTGAGGTGTCAAACGGAAAGAGCAGCACCATGCAACCTGAGGCTGCCGCGTTTTCAGTGAAAGGTGTGGGTCGAGAACCTGAGACAGAAGATGGTGGTCAGCGATGCTCCAAATGCAACAAGACCAATCATAGCACCAAGAATTGTCGTGCTCATCTCAAGTGTACATTTTGTGGTTGGAAGGGACACACTTTCGACTTTTGCCGCAAACGAAAGGCAGCGGCTGAAACTGACCAAAGTCGGCCTTCCAAGGGCAACCAGGTCACGGGTCGTGACAAGAAGGACACAATGCCCAACTTTCCCTTTTCTCCGGAGGACTGCAAGCAGATTCTTCAGCTTTTGAACAAGAGCAAATCCTCTTTCGCCAATCAAGTGGGTAATTCTTCCAATCATGAAGACCTTTCAGGTAAAGCATTTTCCTTCATGCGTAATGGAAAGCAAACCATTTGGATTTTGGACAGTGGTGCCACAGACCACATCGTATGCAGTCCTGAGTTCCTCACGTCCTCAAAACGTGTTGAAAATCATAGTGTTGAATTACCAAATGGTTCCCTTGCTACCGTAACCCATGTCGGCCAAGTGGTGTTCTCTCCCAACCTTATCCTTGACAATGTTTTATGTGTACCCTTGTTTAGGTTAAATTTGATATCTATTAGCAAATTAGCCTATGATTCCCTCTACATCACCATTTTTCTCAAACAATTTTGTGTCATACAGGACCTACGTTCGGGGAAGATGATTGGGACGGGAATTGAACGAGAGGGACTCTACTATCTCGAACCACCAAGGAAGGGATCCTGCAACACCATATCCACCATGAGCTCTTCTTTTTGGCACCAACGCCTTGGGCACCCATCATCTAAAGTGTCTTCGTTACTTCCATTTGTGCACAATAAAACGTGTGATTCTCATCAATGTTTAATTTGTCCCTTGGCTAAACAAACCAGATTGTCTTTTCCCTTGAGTTCTATATCTACTCATTCATGTTTTGAATTAATACATATTGATATTTGGGGTGGTTATAAAGTTCCTTCCCTCTCAGGCGCAAAATATTTCCTCACCATTGTAGATGATTACACACGGTGCACCTGGGTTTACTTGATGAAACACAAATCTGACACACAAGCTATCCTTGTTCAATTCATACACATGGTTGAGAATCAATTCAACATAACAGTTAAGGTGATTCGAAGTGATAATGGTCCCGAGTTCAAACTTGTCTCTTTTTACGAACTCAAAGGGATCCTACACCAAACCAGTTGTGTCAACACACCACAACAAAATGGTGTTGCTGAACGCAAACACAGACACCTGTTAAATGTTGCACGAGCACTTCTTTTTCAAGCCAACCTGCCTAAACAATTTTGGGGGGATGCCATTCTCACTTCGGCCTATCTTATTAACCGTACACCCACACCTCTTCTTCAAGGGAAAACACCATATCACAAGTTGTTTAACACAGCACCAAATTACATGCATTTACGTGTTTTTGGCTGCTTATGTTTTGCATCAACCCATGCACAAAAACCCTCTAAATTTGATCCTCGTGCACGACGATGTATTTTTCTTGGGTACCCCCATGGTCAAAAGGGTTACCGATTGTTTGATCTCACACTTAAACAGATTTTCGTGTCCCGGGATGTCACCTTTTTCGAAGATCATTTTCCCTATCAATTACCTCCTACTTCCGCTGCTTCTTCTACCACTCCCACTCCGCCTCCCATAGAACCTTACTCGCCATCTTTTGATACATCACCTCCTCTCTTCCCTCCACCTCCCATAGAACCTTCTCCTGACATAGGCTCTTCTCCACCTGTTGAAACCCCCTCGCCTCCCTCACCTGCACCATCCTCCTCACCTCCACCTTCCCCCCCCGCTGCTCACTTCCCCACTGCACCACCGCCACCTCGTCGTGGCACACGTCCTACAAAACCCTCCTCTTTCTTGCAGGATTTCCACGTCGAGACCTCTCTCCCGTCCCGACTTGCTCCTTCCTCGAATCTGGTTCAGGTCTCAGGTACAGCTCACCCTTTATCTCATTACCTATCTTACAATCGCCTTTCTCCCATGCATAAACATTTTGTCACTAACGTTACCACCATCCGAGAGCCTACCACTTACCTGCAGGCTGTCTAACATCCACAATGGCGTGACGCCATGCAACACGAAATTGCTGCTCTTCAGGCCAACCATACTTGGTCTCTCGTTCCTCTTCCTCCTCGTAAAAGGGCGATTGGGTGCAAATGGGTGTACAAGGTTAAGCTTAAACCTGATGGGACCATCGAGCGTTACAAAGCCAGGTTGGTTGCCAAGGGCTATAGCCAAATAGAAGGGGTTGACTACCGTGAAACTTTTGCTCCGGTTGCCAAGTTAACCACTGTCCGTGTGCTCCTTAGTGTTGCGGCTGTGCGTCAGTGGCATTTGCACCAACTAGATGTCAACAACGCCTTCTTGCATGGTGATCTTGATGAGGAAGTGTACATGCACTTACCTCCTGGCTTCGGTCGAAAGGGGGAGACTCGTGTATGCAAGCTACACAAATCCTTATATGGTTTAAAGCAAGCCTCCAGACAATGGTTCATTAAACTTTCCAATGCTCTCAAGGCTGCTGGATTTCATCAATCGTGGTCTGATTATTCTTTGTTCGTCCGAAGTCAGCACGGTAACTTCATTGCTTTGTTGGTATATGTTGATGATGTAATTTTGGCAGGAAATAATCTGCAAGAAATTGAAGCAACGAAAAAGTTCCTCTCGCAACAATTCAAATTGAAGGACTTGGGACAACTTAAATATTTCTTGGGGATAGAGGTTGCACGGTCTAACAATGGCATCACCTTATGTCAACGAAAGTATGCATTGGATATATTAGATGATGCAGGATTTTTGGGTGCTAAACCTTCACGATTTCCTGTGGAGCCCAATGTTTCTCTCACACAGGCAGAAGGAGAACTTCTGGTTGATGCTTCATCCTATAGAAGGCTTGTGGGTAGGTTGATCTACCTGACTATAACGAGGCCGGACTTAGCTTACGCTGTGCATATGTTAAGCCAGTTTATGGAAAAGCCTAGACAACCACATCTTGAAGCAGCACACAAAGTTCTCAAATACATCAAGAGTGCACCAGGACAAGGCATATTTTTGCCATCTAAGGGATCCTTACAGTTAAGGGCATTTTGTGACGCTGACTGGGCTAGATGCAAAGACACAAGAAGATCGATAACAGGCTATTGTGTTCAACTTGGTCAAGCACCGATATCCTGGAAAACAAAGAAGCAAACCACTGTTTCCCGTTCTAGTGCAGAAGCCGAGTACCGTTCCATGGCAGCCACATGTTGTGAGATCACATGGTTAAAGAACATTTTGAGGGACTTAAAGGTGAGTCATTCACAACCAGTCATGTTGTTCTGTGATAACCAAGCAGCCATATACATTGCTTCGAACCCGGTGTTTCATGAACGGACAAAGCATATAGAGATTGACTGTCATTTAGTGAGAGAAAAGGTTCAAGAAGGACTGATTCGTACGGCATACATACGCACAAATGACCAACCAGCAGACATCTTCACCAAGCCGTTGGGTTCCACACAGTTTGAAACATTGCTCAGCAAGTTGGGTGTCATTAACATACACTCCAACTTGAGGGGGAGTGTTAAGGAAGATATCTAAGATTAATTATAGTAAATATTGTAAATCTGTAATTAGTTATTTGCTTCCTATTATAGTTTGGTTTCCTTGATTGTAGGCATTAGATTAGGATCAGGAATGTATCTGTTTCCTATATATTTTGTAACCCTAGCATTCGGTGAATACAAGTGAAAAGCATTCTGCTATATCACGTTTCTATAGGTCAGGCAACAAGATAGTATCTGTTGCAACTTCCACATTATTCCTTATCATGCGCACTATTAGTAACGCTATAAAGGTCCCTAGGAGCATTGCTGACAA